CTTACTACAAACAACTACAAACGCTTATATTTTCATATCAACTTCTGTTCCATTACGAGTATACTTGAAGATTCTTCCACTACTAACCTCTACGAACGTTTTTTAGTCTTTTTTAGCGTTAATAGTAATCGTATAAGCTTTCAAGTTGAATTTTTGTATTAAATATCGTTTTGAAAAAATACTTAAAAAAAAATTTTTTTGTTTTTGTTTTACTACAAACGAAAATAAAATCCAATTTCGGGGGATGACTTTTTTGTTGTCTGTATTTTTTTTAGGATATTTTAATGCATTATGTTTGATGTATGACTGAAGAATAAAAGATTCGATTATTCGTCGTACGTATGTTTTTCCGTTATAAAACCTTTTTGTTTCTTAATGCTTTAAAATGCATTTGCACGGATACCACCTGTGCAACCCGTGGCTACGTGGTGACTCTCCGGTTATGAAAGTCAGTACTACCCACTAAAACCTAACGGAACCTTTTCCGTGTTAATGGAGTACCGCATGATCAACCACGATATTTCTACGGCTGGCCTACCGAGACAGATCACAACAACTAGGGGTTGCTCTAACGGTTCACTGTCCTCTGAGAGAAGTACCAGGAGCAGCAACCCGCATAATATAGGTTGGCCAAGTTTTTATTAACACTAAGGATTTTGTCGTGATCACAAACATAATACATATATTTAACAAATTTATGTAGTTGAGAGTATAATTAATATGTACCTATATGCAAAAGATGTCTATCTTAATGCAATGTGTTGAAATATAAAATACTTAGAATTAAAATAAATTTGGTTAGGTCTTTGTAAACGTTCAGTGGGAAGAAGAACCGTGACCTTGACCCCAGAGCATAGGCCTAACCTGCCCCAAAAGTGTTGGGTAAAAGTTGGCGGTCGATAATTAAGATCGTGTTCGCGCACGCGCTCAAATTGTCGCCCGCCTAATCGATCCGCCCGCCCACGTGACGCAACAACGCATTTACTAGGATTCTTCTCAACGAGCTTGCTTCTTATTCCTAACGAATACGCAAACAATATACTTATATTTTTATATCCTGATAATGTATGTAGTATCATCTATATGCACTCATGTATATTGTTAACTAAAAAAAATATTAAGTATTACCAATTCAATTATTTAGATTCAACACCGGTTAAAATAAAACAAATAGCCAATTGAAAGATATTTAATAAACATTTTTCTTTTGTCTGTTTACTAAACATTTTTTTATATACCTAATTTTTTATTTAATTTTGAATTTTCATTTAACACATTTGGAAATGTAATGCAAAACTATCCTGTTTATGTTTTTGTACAAAGGTACTTTGCTTCATGTTGTGTATAACATAAATGTTTGTTACGAATTCTGGGATCGGAAATTAAAGCTCGTAGTATAGATTTGTTTTATGGTATGTACTAACACGAGAATTCACCTATAAACAGCTCACATACACTCGCGGGTAACGGGTTAATTTAGTTACTGAGCATTTTATTCCAAAACGTCCACTAGCAATATTCCTACACTTCAATTTTTATATCTTTCACTGATCATTCAACAATGCCGCCCTTTATAACGAAGAAAAATTAATCAAAAAAAATATTCTGGTGATAGAAATTTCAAATATTTTCTAAAAATGTCACTGTCACATTCTTTTTGTTCATAGAGTGACTGACACCTATCTTGACAATTATTGCCAAGTATTGTGCAAGTGTGTGTTATTTTTATGTAAAGACTTCCAAAGAGAACAGTTCAACACTCGCAACTTTACAACATTGCCTATTCTTAAGATAAGCTCGTTTCAACTGTCGATGTGATATTGCAGTGATACTTAGCGAAACGTTTTACATACAGTACGTTCTTACCCGGGTTTTGCAACTCGGCTATAATTTCGGGGATTTGGCTTTTTTATTTCACTGAATTATATAGCAACACTTCCTTCCTCCATCCTTTTTCTTTTTTTTTTTGTGTTGGGAAATGCATTTACGCATACCACCTGAATACCTACATACAGGTGGTTATGCGAGCTCACTGGCTAGAAAGCCAGAATCTTCGCATCCTGTACTAATGATCATCGTAAAAAATATGAGATACCATGTAGTTCTATGTCTCTGCGAAGCGCATAACAAATATTTAGCAATAATTGAGTAGACAGAAATCTGACAAAATAATTAATTGAACAGTTCGTTCTCAATGCCTAATACTTGGTAATGGTACTTAAATATAGGTACATAGTATATTTTATCTGTATGATATTTGATGGTTTATACAATAGTAGCTTTTATTAAAAAATACTTGTAAAATAAACTATTGTTTTATAACATTTACTAATATTATAACGTTACCAGCCGTAAACAAAAAAGTAAATTAATCATATTTCCTTAATAAATTGCCTTAAGTATAGGAATACCAGTGACTAATTTAAGTACGATTATAACTTGTATTCACGGAATCTACTATTCCAGCTTGAATCGTAAGCACAGCTATAAGTTGTGAAACCATATTGTCAAGCATAACATAAATGTTAACAACATGGCTTCACGATGAGAAAAGGATTTCTACAAGGATTTCCTCGTAAATCAAACTAAGTCTTGATAGGTAGTTCTTTAAAAATGGTCATCGTTTAAGTTGAAAACCAATTGTGTAATAATAGCTCGGATAATAATTCTTGGAATGTTTGTAATGGATAATATTCCAATGAAAATTTTAAATAACCCTTATTTATAATAAAACTATCTTTAAAAATTGTCTTGTTTTATTATAATATGCACCACTTGGTCCCAGAACAATATGTTATGCCACTTAAGTTCTCATCACTCATTTTATTTCATTATATTAGGAATTGTCCCTGGAGGGAAGAGCTCATTGTTTGATGTTGTAAGACTATGTAGTATATAGTTTTATTTTATATAACAGAAATCAAATATTTTATAGGAGTTGATTATACATATATTTTTTCCAATAATTAATAAATTTGAAAATTTTCATATTCTATTTTTATCATTAACCCTTTTCTATCCTTTCGGATATTACTTTGATTGTTTTGACACCATAAAACATAAGCTGGCATATCTCATATTTTCTTTTATCCCTTATTTTTAAATTGTCACATTCTGGAAACAAACAAATAATTTACGCGAAGTGATCGGTGAACACTGCCGAGCGCGTCGAGAGGTATGTTTGTAGTTCTGAACAAAGGTTAACATTATAACACTAGAAAAAAAATGTTCGAAGTTATATATATATATAGTATCTTTGGATTGTGTTAAAATAATATAATTTACATACATTGTTGTTACATTATTATCATTGTTTAAAATGAATAAATTACTATGCATAACAATTGCACTGAAAATTTTACATAATATTTAATATAGTTGAGTTATTAAAAATGATTAAGGTAAATATCTGTAAACAATTAGATTGATTTCATAATATTAATATTGAAATGATTGCAATTACGCAACGGTAAGCGAACTTGGATTTATTATTTGGTCAATGTCGATGTAACAAATTTGGTTAGGCATAAACTTTAAGAAAACAAGTGTGGGGTGACTTCTTAATTTGTTAACATATTAGGGCATAAATAGCGAGTAGATGAGAAGACACCGGCGAAGCGGAATTAGAATGAAGTGCGCGGCTCGCGGCGGCCGTGTGCCACGTCATTGCCGTGACCCACTGACACAGATCCGCGGGGCCGCCTGCACCGATATCTGCACACGCCGCGCGTGCTTGCTCTTCCTCTACTTCTTTATTAGCAATACTCACATTAGTGTTCCATTCGATACATTATTTTGTTTATAATGAAGTAATATTATAGTATTTTTTTGCTGATTCTTTCAGTGATTCATTAACATAATAACTAAATTAAACTAACCTAAACTATGATAAATTTAAATATAACAATTGATATAATGGTTTAGATATAACTATTTTATTAATATATAATATCATAGATATTATTAGTTGTAATTTAGTTACCATTATACTAGTTTTATAAAAAATATTATGTTGAATGAGCAATAATACTAAAATAAGTTATGCAATACGTTGACCTTGTTATCTAAATTGTGCACTTGACACGAATGCTGTTCCATTTCACTTTCATGTCTATAGATATCTACTATAGATACTCATGGCTAGCTTCGTCTTCTTACGTATCCAAGCGATAAAGTTGTTTATTTTAAAACAATTTACATCATGCTACAAATAATTAGAAATATATGAGTAATTAATAATAGATTCTGATTGTTTGTGCGTATGTAATAACAGAATTATTAATATTTTCTGTGAAAAATACTTGAAAATAACAAACACCCATTTTTTATATATTTAAATTTAATCATCTTTTATATTATACTTATACTAAAGAAACGGTTTGTCAATAGGTGATTTTGTTTATCTGAATTCCAACAATATCGTTTCGTGTCTCATCGGTTTGCTCAACACAGCGCAGTTCGATTCTCGTGACGACGAGCGAGATCGACAGAGGTTCGCTAAGATAGGAATAACGTGGGTGTGACTATAGCGGCGATATGCTTGAACCAGTCCGCGCTGAGCACTCCGCGGCGAGTGTCCCGCTCCTTCGCCTTCACTGCGTGTCGTATCGCGCTGCCGCGCCGTGTTGATAATTTGTGAAGTAGACAAGGATATATGTATATGTATGTCTCGTCTTTCAGTTGACTTTCATCGTCGTTTTGTAGTGAACGTTTCACACGGTTATCGATAGGAAATTACATTATTTTATTAGCTGCGTAATAAAGTGGGTGCATGTTTATTCTACTCTCATCCGCGAAACTCAATTAATGACTTTTGATACATCAATATTGTGAAATTCTCGTTAAATCTCTGAAAATCAGCCTAAGTATTAGCGTCGCAGCAAGCGTGGCGCAATGCAGTGTGTGTTTGTATGCAGATATAATTTGTGTGTAAAGTTTTTTCATGGAGAGTTTGGATTTCATAGTGGCGGTAGTGTGAGCTTTTGGAGTAAATTGTAGCCATGTTGCCGATGGTGCAAGCAGAACCTGTGCTTTTCAATTGCGCAGGGCACTCTGCCGATGGATCTTCCCCGACGGCCACCCTACCTCCCTCGTTAACACCAGATTCTGAGGTTGAGGGACTGGCAGATTTTTTTTATGATATAGATGTAGCTGTCGTCAACACGTTTTCAAGGTAATTTCGAGTTTCTTACTAGCGGTGCTTTGCACTTCCAAATAATATTGAATTTGTTTTTCAATATTATTTTCTGTTCTAGAAAACTTTTATCTACATCATTTATAACGATAAATATATAATATCACTTATTTCATTTCGGGCAACTTGCACTAATATTCTTAGTTTGATTTAAATCGGGGGGCACGGAGTGCCCCCGCCAAGTCGAGCAAAAAAGGGCACGACAGTACCATTCTTTTCTCGAAGAGATTCAGAGCATTTTCCACCCCCCCATAACTTCGTTATGGATAAAGCTAGAAGCCTGAATTTTCAGTGACTAAAAGAATATAATAAAACTAGGCATATTTCCAAATTACATTCAATTTGAACCTGTAGTTTAAGAACTGTTGCAGATCAAAATTCGTTAATATCGTCACTCACACACTCACTCACTCACCGATCATCAAAATTCTAAGGTACTTCTAGCAGACATAGGAGCTTCAAATTTTGAACACAATTAGTGTTTAGCCTATAACGGAAGGAAAAACTCAAACATCATGCAATTTCAATCCTGTTTTCGAGATATACAAACTGCATAAGTAACTTTGTATTCCTATACAAATAGATATGCGATATATGGGATTACAAAGTTATTTTTGCAGTTCATACATATCATTTTTCGTCACTTAAACTACCCAAATGTATAGCAGGGTAAATAGTGGATATACTGTAAGTGTTAGCGACGACTAAAATGTAATTATCAATATTGTAAAGAGTTTTAAGAAATAATATATTTAATATATAAATTAAAACTTATATGTATAAAAGATCTTAAATATAAAAAAAAAATATACAAGTAATAGAACACTCGTGTGTTCCGTAGCGAGAGTCGCCCGGGGGAATTCGGGTGGTATCCGTAATAGGATTTCCCAACTATAAAAAAAAAGTACAGAGCCCTCGGAGCGTTAGTTTGTCTTCTACTTGACTAATACATACAATATGTATTTATCAATATTTAGTTTAGTCATGTTAAAAAAACACAGGAATAACTCATATATTATTTTATTAACTTAAATATCCAACTTAAAATATATCTTTCTCAGAGTTCCGTTTGTTATCACTAAGTATTTAATTTGTTAGTCAATTTCTCCACTTCAACGACGTCAAGGAACGCTAGAAGGTTTAGGTATTTTTTTAAATAATAGGTCACAATAAAATAGCACATAATATAAATATTTTGATATAAATAAACTTCATCATAGCTTGCCTTAATTTGTGCCGTTATGTCAAATATAAATTTCGTTTAAAAATCATAAAATATTTTAATTAAATTTACACTATTTTTTCCTTACATTATTTAAATTAAATATTATTTTTTCATTTCCCGATATCTTACTTTTATTTTTTTCACCTCATTCATATACTTATTCTTATAAAATTTATAATTACTTAATGGTAAATTAATTATACAATAGTTGCACTGTAAAAGGGGGTTAGGTTAGTGTTTTACCTGTAGGTATGTATGTTTGTACGTCCGATCCTATGTTCCCTCGTAATTACTAACCTAATTTCGATTGGTCTATTTATTAATGTTTATATTTGCAATTATATGATGTATTAGAAAAGTATTTTTAAACGCGAAAATAATATTTTAAGCTTTTTTAGTAGCTGTATACATTTTTATGCATATACAAATGGGTACATAAATGTAATGTGAAGCGTGTATAGTTTATACCTACTAATATTCGATTACTGTTATTTATAATGAATTGATTAAAATATATACCTAATTAAGAAACAACTTGACGATTACTTAATTTTGAAACAAAGCTCGTACATTTTCTTTTACAAAGTATGATGTTGATATGAATTAGAAAACCTTGTCAACATGAAATATAGAGGTCATGAAATATCAATCTCTTCGAAAATTACTTTTAAAATGGAATGGAATACAACTTTCGGGATTTAACTACGATGCTGCAGATAGACACATAAATCTACACGTCTTATTAAACTTATGTAAGTCGAATATCAGTATCGGGGTAGGTATTTAGGGTCAACAATGAAATTAAAATATTCGTTAAATTAACTATACATATTTATTCTTAATGCATAAGATAGTAGTATTAAAGTCCAGGAGTCCGTAATTTCCCAATACAATAGACTTAGATTTTTTATCATCCAGACTTGTCAAAATTTGTTGCCTATATCAAAGCCTCTGAAAAAAGCCCACAGAGACAAGGAGTGGGCTTTTAAAAAGTCCTTAGCTGACACACAAGAAATAGTACAAGAAAAGAGAAAAAGAAGAAATATTTACAAAAAGAAATGAGATCCCATCAAAAACATTCTGTAAAAATATTGCAAGTCTCGCAACGCATTTCTTCTACCTCAAAAAGCTATGAGATGTAATGTAAAACCAAGTCGGTTAATTTATTCATTACCTATCTATGAAAGCATCTATCCGACAACTTTGTCATAAATCGTTACCGAATTAGTTAAGTTACAACATTTTATAGTGACCGTATTAATATTAGATATATTTATTTCTTTAATTAATAGAATGACTTGGCCATCGCACATGATAATAGAATCTACAAATAACAAAATTTACCTAAAATTAGCGTTCTGAGTGCATTATTAATATATAGATGCATAAATTTGACCCGCTAGTGCTATGTTCAGTTCATCTCAGCCCAAACACACACACAGCTGGACATAGGCCTCTCCCAAAAAGTTCCACGACAACCAGTCTTGTGCCATCCGCATCTAGTGGGCTCCAGCGACTTTGACCAAGTAGTCCGTCCACCTTGGTCATGATATGTTTAATTAGGGCTATTTAAAGTTGTAGACTCTTATGTGATAATGTTTCCGTGCGATGGCCAAGTCATTCTATTAATTAAAGAAATAAATATATCTAATATTAATACGGTCACTATAAAATGTTGTAACTTAACTAATTCGGTAACGATTTATGACAAAGTTGTCGGATAGATGCTTTCATAGATAGGTAATGAATAAATTAACCGACTTGGTTTTACATTACATCTCATAGCTTTTTGAGGTAGAAGAAATGCGTTGCGAGACTTGCAATATTTTTACAGAATGTTTTTGATGGGATCTATACATCTATACTAATATAATAAAGAGGTAAAGTTTGTGAGATTGTGAGTTTGTGACGTTGTAGGGGGTAATCTCTGGATCTACTGAACCAATTTAGATGAAATTTGGTAAGACGATAGTTTGAGACCATGGGAAGGACATACGATACTTTTTATCCCAGAAATCATCCTTTAAGGGCGTGAAAATGAGGATGAAAGTTTGTTTGGGGAATTAAGCCAGGGACGAACCCGAGCGAAGCGAGGGTGAGTCGCTGGTTTTATAATGAAATTCTAACCGAGTCGAATCTGTACATTTTATATTTTTTGGAAAATCTTATTGAAATAGTCATTATTATCGATACAGAGGCCGAATCCATAGTTTTTGATTTATTATCTGTCTGTCAGTCTATCTGTCTACCTGTCTGTTTGTATGGGAACACATAACGTAAAAACAGGGCTCAGAAACCTGTTCAATTTTTAAACTGGTTTTGGTCATTGATCCCAAACCGAAGCGCTTTTCGGTTTAAGGTTTCGGTTGTTCTTTAACCGGTTAAGTCCGGGAGAACGGTTATAGACTAATTTAGGTTCCATGACCAAAAATAAACGATTAAAATGAGTTTTTGTGCCTTTACATTTGGCGCGTCTTTGCTAATGGTGAATGGCTTAGTAGAAGGAGCATTACGTTTCTTATTTATGAATGAATTAACCGGTTTATTTGGTATCAAAACCGAAATCCAACTTTTCTTTAAGAATAACCTTTAACCATTAGTATTTTGGTTTACTAAACTGTTCATTTTCATCACCAAAATAAACAGTTTTTCAAACCGGTTCAGAGCCCTGTATGAAAACCATTAGACTGATTTTTATGAAATTTGGTATAATGATAGCTGGGCATCATGGTCAACATGTAACTTTTTACTGTGGGAAAATATCTCATCTCTGAGAAATCTATACTAACCGTACCTTAGGATGATCCCGAGCGGAGTGAGGGTGAGTCGCTAGTGTTTAATACAATTTCGCGAGTGCTAAACATAATATTTAAACATTTGAATCAAATTAAGAATTTGGTGTAAGCGGCTCGAAAGATGTTAGCCCTTATTTACCTACAGAAATATGTTTGTACGTGCATGTAGATTTACAATATATCTATATGCAATACGGATAAGCACATTTCCTCCATTTATCGTTAATGTCAACAACACTACTAGTTTGGTGTCCTTTTTAATCGAAATGATTGAATTAAAACACGTAATATAGCCTATTCGTTATGTAGTCGCCAATCGCAAAATGATTAACCTGTATTAGGCATGCGGCCTTTGCTGTAGCAGGCAGGGCCGTTCTAGAGTTGGTCAAACACATAGAGTCATTATGTTCGATATATCATATAAATATGGAAAATATTAAATATTTAGTCTAGTTATACATATAATAAAATTGTAACTAAGCCGAATCTGTACATTCAATATTTTTTTGGAAAATCTTATTGAAATAGACATTATTATCGATATAGAGGCCGAATCTATAGTTTTTAGAATTTTTATCTGTCTGTCTGTTACCGCATCACGCAAAAACCACTGGAGGGTTTTTCATGAAATTTGGTATGGTGATAGCTGGTTATCTGGGTCAACATATACTTAGGATACTTTTTACCGCGGGAAATATCTCATTTCTGAGAAAAAATACAAAAACTGCATTGTAAGAGTATACTAAATTATGTAAAACTTAAGAATTTGGTTTTTGGTCATCTGAACGCGGGCGGAGCCGCGGGCAATGCTAGTAAGTAAATAAATCTCTATCTTGTTATTTTTATTTCAGAAACACAAATTATTTTTTAACAACTTGAAAAAAATATTATTTTCTAATTGTAGTAATTTTCTAGTAGTTGTTTATATGTAGGTACTCCTGATAAGTAAATTTCAAGGCCGATCACATGTTCAAGTAGGTAATGCTAAATAATTGGGTTGGTAACATTAAAATTTCATTTATCTAGAATTCGTATAAAATAAAGCAATCCAGAAAAACCTGTATGCTGAGTTTTATACCCCTAAATACTTATAAAATGTTTATATAATATCCCACTGAAATCATTATTTGTTAATTGGTAAATAGAATGAAATTCCAACATTCTCACTTATTTCCGTCAAGTCCTCCACTTACATCAATATTTCAATCTATACTAATATTACTTTATAATAAAGAGGTAAAGTTTGTGACGTTGTAGGGGGTAATCTCTGGATCTAGTACCCCATTTAGATGAAATTTGGTAAGAAAATAATTTGAGACCCTGGGAAGGTCATAGGATACTTTTTATACCGGAAATTATCTCTGAAGCTGGGAAAATGGGGATGAAAGTTTGCATTGAGAAGCAAGCTAGGGACGAACCCGAGCGAAGCGAGGATGGGTCGCTAATGCGTTATAAAACACAACTTAATAGTTTTTAGCTGTTGAACATTAACAACCTTGTCAGGTGTATTAGCAATTGAGTAACATTGGCCTGACAACACCGGCTTACTTAATATACTTACAACTTACTTGAATTACGAGACTAAAATTTTAGGACTACCCTAATAAGTTTATCAACTTTTGACATCGTAGCACATAGAGAAGCACTTTTTTATTTTATTCTCTATTTTTCAAATTAAACTACAACCCTATATACTCGTAAATATATAACCTGAGGGCAATTAATTCTAACCTAAGAACTCAACAGAACACCTTTAGAAATCTTTATTTTGTCTAGTGCTAGCGACTTGCTCTCGCTTCGCTCTGGTGCGCCCCTAGGTGCGAATCGTTCCATAATACCTTATTTTTATAATAACTATATTGGAAATTTTAATGAAACGTAAATTCGAATTTTGAGTAATTTTTGAGGGTTTTCGATTTTCGCGCTGTAACCCTAAATATTTCAGGAATAAAACATGCTCTATATGTAACCCTACACTAAGTATCTACTTAGAGAAAACACGAAACAAAAATGCTTCCTTTAACTTTAAAGTGATTGACTACGTGAAACGAAACCAAAACCCCTGCCACCGCTGTCGTCGTCGTCGTTAAGATATTAATTATTATTACGTTTCGCGAGTTATTTTAATCATGTGATATCTTCTAAGATATTCATCTAATTTAAATGATATAAAGGTCAGTTTTGATCTAAAATAAGTCCTTAAGTTGTCTATGTATTTGTTTAGATAAGGATTAACACCATGTCAGAAAAATGCCTTCGCAAATAAACCATTATTTATTTGAGAACCATAAAAATAGTCCATGAGTCCATCTTAAAAGATATGCTATCGATATAGTAACTGTTTATGTTTTTTTTTAACTTATTAGAACATTTGGCGATTTTGACTGCAAAACTTTACGCGGCGCACGACGGTAAGCTCCCAGTCGGCATGATATTTTCCGAAATCTTCAAGAGTCATCGTCAAATTTCAGCCAATTTATAAAAAAACCATAATGAATTATACACCTAAACTTTTCTTATGAATCTCTCCGTCCATTGTTGTTGAAGACTGCACGAAAAACCGTTAGGTAGTTTTTTAATTTTTCGCGTTCAGAGACAGACGCGGCGGGGAGCTTTGTTTTGTATATGTAGTGATGTATGAAAGGATACACAGAATTGCTATAAATTAATTGTAAGGGTGGACATTTTTTTCTGATCAATGACGACCTAGAAGTAAAGTCCCACAAACTAAAGTGTCATAAGCCATAGAATACCTAGTAACTCGACCAGTTATTAAGGTACTCGTCCCATTGGATTGTTTATTTTACATTAAGATGCAGACCGATAAAACATCCAAAGTAGAGATATACGTACATACAAAAAAGATACAAGTACATTTCTTGTGCGAAGAATAAAACCTAATTGTAGGAGAGCAGCATCATCTATACTAATATTATAAATGTGAAAGTGTGTTTGTTTGTCTTTCTTTCACGTCGAAACGGCTTGGCGGATTGGCGGGGTTTTTTGTGGGAAGATAGTTGGAGGGCTGGAGAATGACATAGGCTACTTTTTACCACGGGAGATTATTTTTTTCCCACGGGAAAACACGTTATAATACAATCAAAAAAATATTTATGATCAGAATTACTTGAAACTTGGTATAAATGCTCTTCAATACAATTAATTAAATACGTGTTTTAGCATTCTTCTAAATTCATAATAAGGGGTAAGATAGTGGATGAAAGTTTGTATGAAATCAACCATTTTAAAGTTCTTTTTTGTAGTTTTAGCGCGAGCGAAGCCGCGGGTTCTGCTAGTAGGTAATAATTTATTGTCATATTTACCAAAACCAAATAACAATAATAATTATTATAATCTCAATATTAGGAAAATGAGTGGCTAAGCAAATAAATTCATGATTAATAATATTGAAATCATATTTTTTAACTCTCTATCTCTAATAATCTATGTATAAATAAATGATAGTAAAAACAAGCATTTTTAAAAACCAGTTTTTATTTAAATGCTTTAAAAAGAAGAAAATAAGCTTTAAATTAAATCAAACCCATTAATTTATCACATTACACAATTTATCCATACATATAATAAAATTGTAACTAAGCCGAATATGTACGTTACATATTTTTTGGAAAATCTTATTGAAATAGTCATTACTATCAATACAGAGGCCGAATCTATAGTTTTTTAAATTTTGTCTGTCTGTCTGTCTGTCTGTCTGTCTGTCTGTCTGTCTGTCTGTCTGTCTGTCTGTCTGTTACCGCATCACGAGGAAACTACTGGACAGATTTTGATGAAATTTGGTATGGTTTTAGCTGGTTATCCGTGTCAACATATAGAAAACTTTTTACTGCAGGAAAATATTTCATCTTTGAGAAATCTATATAAAACATTAAAACGTAAGTAGGGACGAACCCTAGCGGAGCGAGGGTGAGTCGCTAGTATGATATAAAAACTTGTCGCGAGATTTACCTGTGTAGATTAACAAGAATATAATATTTAAAATAATTTAAGTGTTTGTTTGCCTGTGTTTATTTGACTGACTTATTTGGAGTGGTGTCATTTTTTGTGTGGAGATAGATGGAGGGCTGGAGGGTGACATAAGCAAGTTTCTACCAAGGGAGATTACTTTATTCCCACGAGAAACACGTTATAATACAACCCACAATAACTCATAATACTCGTACCTATACATATATTCCATACGAACCGTTAAACCATACCTATGGACGAACCTAAGCGAAGCGAGAGCGAGTCGCTAGTATATAATGTTTTGTAATATCTTAACGTATTTGAGGGGATAGTTGCTTTGGTATTTGATTATATTGGCTTCATATATATTTTTTTGCGGTCCTGCGGATGATTCGGTCCTCTTTTTAAAGTTCATATTCGTTTGCGTTAGTTCGCTGCTGCTCTGATGATTGGCTTCACTTGTTCCTCGTAAGAATTCTGGCCCTCGGAACGAACGGTCGTCAGTGGTGATGCGAGTGTGCGCGAAATGTCAGCTACATTTTCGCTGGTTGGGAACCATTGCCAATCCTCAGGTTGGGTAAGTTCGACTAAATCCCCAAGCCGGTTCTGCACGGCAAAGTGTAGTGAATACCAGCAGACTGCACTCGAACGCTCCGTACCATCATCCCTTTTCGAGAAGCTGCATGCAGCAGCTATTTTTGTGCTGATGGGGTTGGTGTAGAGCCAGGTATCCTTCTGGTGGTTTTCAAAGGTCTTCATGCCGGCTCTCTTAGTCTTCTTTACTTTCTTGGTCTCTTTCTCTTAGCTTACTGAAGAGTTCAGCTTTGATCTCCAACTACTTCTTGAGGGCTGCTAGATTTTCTGCAGCCTCCAATTCCACTTCTCGCACGCCACGCTTGCCCATCGATCGCACTGAACGCCCTGGTGATCTTGTTCGGGGTAGGTATCCAGTCTTCAGTGGTCTGTAGGCTGCGAAGGGTGTAAGGTCAGAAGCATCGACCGTAGCCCCTTGCTCAACCTCGCGTGTCTAGGGGCAGTGAGGCCGGTGGATCAAAGAAATCTTTGTCTTTGCTCCTGTCACTTTTGCTCCTGGTGATGACCATTCTAGACGTTCTTGGTTCGATGATAGCTTATTTCTTCAATCAGACTCGAAGAACGTACTTGTGGTGGACTGTGTTTAAGGTTTTAAATGAAACTCAAAATAAAATTTCTAAAGAAACTCTAAATAAAAACGGGGAATATGATTTTTGTTTTTTATTTTTTATACAATAGATTACATCGTTGTACAATTGTAAAAAAATATCCAACTTCAAATAACTAAAATTAAGTAATTACTAATCATACAATTGTTTTGGAAGTTTTTTTTATTAAAGACAAATTGGCCCCTGAAATCCGCCATCTTAATTTTTAATTATTTTTATATAGCCATATGACATTCGCGTTATCAAGATAAATTTAACGACGTATAAATCATCAAAATCAGCCCATGCGTTTGGTCTCTAGAACGCCACATAGGAACAAACATACAATCATACATACATAGGCTTATAAACACATTACCCATATTATATTACACGTATTTCAATTACGGAATACATGTAACAGGTATGTATATATTACACTAGCCACTCACCCTTGCTCCGCTCGGGTTCGTCCGTAGATACCTACGTTTTAACGTTCACAGACAGACAGACAAAAATTATAATAACTATTGTTTTGGGGTCTATATTGTGTACATAATACGTTACAGTCATTGTTTTTAAAAAATATTTAATGTACAGATATCGCTAAGTTAATGCTTTATTATAGTACTTATAGATTCCATGCGACGAGATAGAACTCTTTCTGGAACGTTATATTTGAGTTTGTTTGTTTGTTGTTTGAATGCGCTAATCTCAGGAACTACTAATCTGATTTGATTTTTTTTTGCATTAGATAGCCCGTTTATTAAGGAAGGCTATTATATCATCGTGCTACTTAGTATCTATTCCATACTAATCATTAACGGGGCACCGAGGCAATTATGAAATAATTGCGTTCGTTTGATCCCTTGCTGTATTGTTATTACTAAAACTTTTATTTTGCAACTAATATGTAGGATATTTAAGGATTTATTCTATAAATCGTATACTTTAGAAACACGATTACTTGTAGTTTCCTCGATAGAAAAAAAAAATCCAAAATGATCTCTAAAAAACAAAATAAACCCTTAGTGCGACGTAAATGATTCAAGGAATAACAAAACTATACGTTTTCTATAACGTATACACTTTTGACTTTACATTTTCAAAATGTGTATTTGTTATAATAATACGAAGGAAATATCTAAATTCGCACGCGTTCCGTCTATCGTAGTATTTTTAACAAAACTATGACTAAATTTTGTAAATATGAACTTTTTTTTTTAATATATTTTTAACTAGTGAAAAAACAAGATTAGAGTATGAATGAATTTCATTTCTTTCTGTAATTAATCATTTTAAAATCAATTTTTTCAAAAAAAAACTATAAAATTAACTCCCAAAGTCGATCAAAAACTAATAAAATATCGATAAATTCGAAAAAATTATAACATAAATAGATTCTACGGCAAAAAGACAAAACCACTAGTGTATTTTACGTGAATTCCAATTTTTATTATTTTTTCACGACTCATCAAATTGAAAAGTTGGAATGTTTACAGCGACATTGTATAAATAATAAGCGTCAAATTAAAAACTCAAGGACACCATTTTTTTCGATTTTTCCTGAAAAATACATTGGTGTAATGGGTTTATAAAAATTTGTTCAATAAAGTGCACTTCTTCAATGATAATTGAAAAATGTAGTTTACAAAGTAAAAATTATCGATTTCCATATTTTTTTTAATTTTTATGGGTGTTTGTACAAGATGACTATACAATGTTTTTATGTTTTCAAAAAGTAGAGTTCAAGACGAAAAGAATGAGCCCTATCTGAAAATTGAACGATTTTTTTTTAAATGTAAACGCCACTTGAAGTTGGGGGTGATTTTCAGCCACTCGAAACCATAAAACGTACTTTTCTCGGAAATAGCTAAACATTTCAATTTCATTTTTTTTTATTTATTATATGTATTTCGAAGATTACATTCCCTTAAGCCTAGTTCGCATTAAGCTAGTATTTTAGTCTAGTAGCGAGTAATTTAGTAGCTAAATTACTCGCTACTCACCAAAAATTGTTCGCACTTTGGTCGAGTACAGTTTACAAGTGCGTGGTGTTTTGCAAGATGAACAGCCTACAACGCAATAAAGTAAATAAACTGATTAAGCTGATCGTAACGGCTATTTTGGAAGAGGTGGATGAGGAAATTTGTGTGATTAATAAAAAGAAGCTATGGGTACGAAAATGGATCGAAAGACGAGATAAACTAGGAGCTATTAATTGTCTTTTGAAGGAATTAGCATTGGAAGATCCCAAAGAATACTTCGATAGTTTGAGAATGTTCGAAAGTTGTGTAAATTTTCTGTTAATGAAAATACACTCTCAAATTAATGAACTCGACTAATTCGACAGGTTCGTACTTGTTTAGCCGGTGAACCAGTGAGCTCGGACGCGTGGTGGGGGCTGCTACTCGCCCAAAAAAATAGAATAAAATGGATTGACTCGACTAAATTACTTACTAAACTAATCGACTAAATTTTTAGTGTTCAGACACGTTTAGTTACTAAATTACTCGCTACTAGACTAAAATACTAGCTTAATGCGAACTAGGCTTTAGTTCCATGGAAATCAAAAGATTATTCTAGAAATTAAAAATAAAATACCCAAGAAACAGTTAAAAACCGAGTTTTTTGCAAATATCTCGAAAACTTTGAGGTTATTGTAAAAAAAGTTATTTATAAAAATTGTAGATTTTTACTAGACCTACAACTTTTGTAGAAAACATTTTTCGATAGAACGTCACAGTAAGCCGGAAATAGAAAAAAAACTATTTTTCAACGCTTTGCGTCCCCCCATTTCTCGGGGGTAGGTAGGCATGTGGGTCATTTTACGAAATTCAGTTCCTTATATAACTGCTAACATTTTAAAATCATAAAACTTCAGGTTTTCAATATTTTTTTTCTCTTAAAAATAAACGGATTCCGATTGGTCTATACATGTAAATGAGGGATGAAGAATAAAGATCACATAAGCGTGTGGGGTTTCTTCGTTTAAGTCTTTATTCACAGAAATGTTTCTAAGCGACTTTTTTGTTCAAATCAACACTTGAAGAGTGAGACCTATATGCTTCGACAGTCGTAAATATTCTGAAGAAGATACGTACAGTAGTTTGACTTTTGGGATAGGTGGGATGTTTTCCGTTTCACGCAATGGTACCGCGAGATCAACTTGGTTTCTCATAGTAGGTACTAGTATGAAATACAAATTAATTTATGCCGTCAATAATAAAATGAATATCGTAATTGGGTAATTGTTTCATTTTACTTTTTGAGAAAATAAATGTCTTAAACCATATTTTTAACCTAACATAGTATATTATTAAGAGAAAACAAATTTAAGTTGTGATGCACGGAACCCTCGTTATGCGAGACGCACTAGCACATGGTCGAGTTTTAAAAGTTTTACATACACATTACAGTTTTTTTTAATTTAAAGTACCTATTTTGTTTACAGGTTTCTTTCAAATATAATTTCTTGGTCGCTATTTATCCTAACATCTGACATTAAGAAAACCATAATCCGTGGGTTTGTTTTATATTAAATGTATAAAACACGACCTTGGAGCTAGAGGATTAGATGAAAAACAAAAACAGTAGACTCCTAACTTGATAAAATAATTTAAAATAATTCTAAATCTTAGGCTATCAGGAATCCGTGTTCCGGAATAATATTGATATACTTATATTATATACATATGTATCTATAAGTATACATTATACGCAAACAAACAACTTATTCATCGTCATTTTCGTCAAGGTCACTTATTCCGTCGGGATAACCATCTTAGTATGGTTAGTTTCGGCGTACATTTAAACTTGACCTTGAATTTGACGAAAAATGAAGTGTCCACGATTTTTTAAGGGTAGAGAATTTTGCTTTATGGCTAGTCGACTAACTTATTGACTTAATTTTAATCTTGTTAGTAAATAAATTGTTATTTAGATATATTTTGAATACAAATATTTGCTTGCAGAGACAGAGATAAAAAACTAGTGAACAGATAAAATAGAACTAATCTAGATTAATAAAAATGAATGGCTAAATAAATATGTATCTAATTGCAAATGCTTATGGCGAGAATTTTTTTTTACGGAAAAACGTAATAAAACGTATCAAATTTTCTTTTTCCTTATTTACTACTTTATAATTATGAACGCAACCTTAAAATTAATATAAACTACTTGAATGCATTTGTAGATTAAACAATTTCTCTTTCTACGATATAAAGCTTGGCTTTGTTTGTTTGTCATTCTTTCACGTCGAAACAGAGTGACGGATTGGTGTGATTTGTGGAGATGTTGAAGGGCTGGAGAGTGACATAGGTTATTTTTTACTGCGGGGGCTTATCTCCTTTCCAAGGGTAAAAACGTTATCATACAACCCACAACAACTCATCATACCTATGTACATATTTATATACATAAAAAACAGTTGTTGTTCGTTAGTCTCGCTAAAACTCAAGATAGCTGGACTGGTTTGAATAAATCTTTTTTTTTGTTTTTTTGGGAGTGGTTTAAGTAAAAAAAATAGGGAAAACCCATAAGAACAGCTGGAAAATCGAAAAGTTCAGAACTGTTTATTTTGTATGGGAACCACTAATTCGGATTATTTTTAATAGCGGCGGACCTACCATCTACAACAATGCGTCAAGTTTAAGTTAAAAAAAATATATGCACTAGTATAATATAGTCTATTTATTCCATACTAACCGTTAAAACGTATCTAGGGACGAACCTGAGCGAAGCGAGGGTGAGTCGCTAGTATATAATATTTAGTCTATCTATTCTATACTAACCGCTAAAACGAGGGAGAGTCGCTAGTAAGAAATATAAATTTTACTATAATATAAATACGGCATTATTATTATTCAATCAATTAAATAAAATTGCCGTCAAGAAGTAAAAACTAAAAACCCAAAACCCAAAAAAAAAACTTACATTTCGTATTTAAATAATAATAAACATATCAATGTAATTAATAGAGAAGAATAAGAAGAATAATAGGTTTTTTTTTCATATCAACACATTTACAAAAAAATAAACTTTAAGGACAATTTTTATTTAAACAAACTCGCTAAGTAGTACTATGTATGACGAATAGCCATTGAGCAACAAATGAAACTGATATCTTCGCATAACTTTCAATACTTAACTTTCACTGACTTTAACATTTAACTTCATGTAATATCTGAACGACTTTCTATTTCTTTATATAGCTACTAAATAAATACCTAATTCTGTGATATTATCATCCAATGATTATAAAAACATATATTTTTATAACATAATCTTGAACTAGATAAAAATCAAAATCAGAGGACTAGTTAAATTTTTGTTTCGGAACTTTTGTTTGATTAATTAAATTATCCGTACGCCTATATTATACATAGCTATATTTGATGAGTAATTTTTATATATTATTTTATATTATTATTTTTTGGTCACTCATGGCGCGTTGTTATTCCGAGCATTATTATTTCAAGGTTGCTCGGTCGCCCGTCACAGTGAGGTTGCGTTGTGGGGCTCCTCGGTAGGCGTCGTAATATCTCTGTCCTGCTTTCGCATTAAGCTATTCTGTACTTGCCATTCGGCATGGGTATCGTCGACGTGAACATATAACTATTGATAGCTGTACCTTAATGATTATAAACGTAATTGATCACTTTGTACTTTCTTCTTAGGTAAATGCATATCATACGTCAAATATAGGCTAATTATATAACTTTATATTCAGCCACTGGAAGTTGCACAATATCTTTTTATTGCACAAAATACTTTAAAATCATCAGATAAAAATATTATAAAAATAATGAAGGTATTTAATGAATGTACTCAATGGCAAGCAAATACTAGCTTTTTGTACTAAACAGATAAAAGGAATAAGTTATTGCAATGAACTTGTTGGTAGTGTTTTGCTCATCAATACATTTGAACTAGGATAGGCACTTTTTAAATACCAACGACATTAGTAATTGTGACCCTTTTAATGAATATCATAGTTCTGAGAAGGTCAATCGATGTGGAGTAAAATTGTACATACATTTTACTTCCTTTACGCCATTTACAATAGTTCATTTACACGTCATAACAACGATACAACATATTTTAGTTGATTTTTAGAATTAATATATTTAAACATCATCGTTAAATATATATTAATAGTCGTTTCTTTGCTGCTTCTGTAGAATTGAATCCTGTGACCTCCAACTGGGAGACACATGGAGGGGGATGCAAGGCAAGATGAGCGTGACCGCGCCGGGTAAGAAGACCAGAAAAAAGTCGTCAGACAATAAATCTCAACAGTACGTATTAGCGGTTTTAAAAGATTTATTGGAGATAGTCTGTTTTGCTTCTTATATTTTTCGTTAATGAATAGTTATGTGTATTCAAAACATACATGTGTTGTTCATAAAATATTTTATTAAGTTTTTTATGTATGAATTGAATAATAGTGACCTTTTTTTTTTTTTTTTTAACGTTGGGAAATTAACGCATTTACGCACGACGTGTGGGACTCACCGGCGTAATACAGCCAGTACTACCCACTAAAACCCAACAAAACCTTCCCCCGTCTTAATGGGGCGTCGCAGGATCGCTTACGCATTCAACTACGACGCCCCGACGGCAGGTCCGCCGAAGCAGACCACCACAACCATGAGGTTGCTCCACAGTCCACTCTGCTATCAGAGAAGTACCAGGAGCAACCCGCATGGTACACCGCCCTCCAAAGAGGGCCACCTCCCACCGCCCACCGAAGTGGGCAACCTCCCTGTGCGTTTCTTAGCTTCGCTACTGCTACTGAGCCCCCCCACCACGACAAGGTGAACGCACGTTGGGGGGGTATAGTGACCTGCCTTTGCTTCGCTTAAGCATTCCTAGGTAACTTCTTGCAAAATACTTCTATCACTTAATGCTATTGCGTAGCAAACATAACTAATTTTCTTTTAAAACATATGAAAAAAGTTATGCATGACAAAAGCTATGATTTAAGGAACTTCGAAAGAATTTGATATCCAGTTAGATTTTACTTTTATAAGCAAAGCCACCTGAGTACATATTTTGTAAGTTTTTTTGTTACGAACTTGGCTTTATTTTACATTTATGTTTTTGGTAAGATATTTATGTTTTAACTTTTAATATTAATAGCAACGTTTTTATTTTATTACAGGCATATAGATATAAAAGAATACATGATTATGTTACTACATTATCATGTATGCTTTTATATCTATGTATTATGCCTGAAATTTTATTTTTTATATATGTACATATGAAAGACAAAATACCTCGATTGACTAGATTTTTCAACCGACTTCAAAAAGGAGGAGGTTCTCAATTCGACTGTATTTTTTTTTTTTTTTTTTTTATGTTTGTTACCTCAGAACTTCGTCATTTATTAACCGATTTGGACAATTTTTGTTTTGTTTGAAAGGGTATACTTCCAGATTGGTCCCATTTAAATTTCAAAAAAAAATACCACCCCTAAGGGTGGAAAAATAGCTAATGATGGATTTAACCTACTTCTAATTGTCATAATGACTTGAAACTTTGCAAGTGTTTATATTTCCGTTGATAATACATTGGTTCGGTATTGTTGACCTGATCTGATGGTAAGGCCAGAAGGTGGATAGGTGGAACTCTTCAACAGCTAATAGTAGATACTTTGAGTTTGGGCTTATTTTGTTTGATTCGACAAGCCTAACACGTTAGAATTCTTACTTTGCTACTACTGTCTACACTAAAAAGGGAAAAATAAAAACTTTTTAACAAAAAAATAAAAACCGACTTCAAACAAAAGCACTAAAAAGTAAAAAATAACTGATTGGTAGTTTTCATTTACTATACATACCTAATCAAATATTTTCGAAATCGGTGCCAGCCCATACAAAGCAAAGCACACCGACTTCGAAAATATTTGATTAGGTATGTATAGTAAATGAAAACTACCAATCAGTTATTTTTTACTTTTTAGTGCTTTTGTTTGAAGTCGGTTTTTATTTTTTTGTTAAAAAGTTTTTATTTTGTAATACAAAAATGTTGCTATTAATATTAAAACATAAGAGGTAGGTACATTGTGAATGTATAAAACGTAAAAATATCATAAAACTTAATTTGCGTGTAATTAAAACATAATAGACAAGCTCACGAAGAGTATTTTTAAGGAATAGCGTATCAAAACAAGTTATTAATCTAGAACCAAACTATGTAATTGTTTCCTGCTACAGTGCTGCGATGCGTCTGCTTCGATTTAGTTCAATCAAAAGTGTATTGATAGGAATAAAGTTGATTTTAACTTAAAATTTAAAGTGATTATTTTTCTTATGGATGGAATATTTTAATAAATTTATATACAGCACCTGGGCGACCGAGTGCTTTTGCGTTTTTGGGAAGATATGAAAAATTGCGTTTTGAATTTTTTATATAGAAAAAATATAAAAAGCAAAACCTTATCTAAATACACAAATTTATCCAAATCGTCAGAGCCATTTTCGAGATAGAGGATATAAATTTATATACATACACTAGCGGACCCGACAGACGTTGTCCTGTCTACACGTCTTTAATTTGAAAATTTCAAACTTTTTTTAATAATTTTTTTGATGAAAATGATTATTCAAATTGTGAATCTAAACCATTCCCAGATCCCCTTGAACACACACAAAAAATTTAATCAAAATCGGTCCAGTCGTTTGAGAGAAGTTCAGTGACATACACACTCACAGAAGAATTATATATATAAAGATATACTATACATATTACAAAAATTGCTCGTTAAATATTACAAGATTTATTTTATAAATTTAGATATTTAGATAAACTTCGGTATACTCTAATAAAACTACATATATTGATTTTTTAAGCACTTTAAACTACTTATTTTATTGAGTCAGGAAGTTAAATATCTATACTCTGAATGCAATTCTACTGAAAAGATTTGGCGCAAAACTTAACAGTGGAATAATTACGAATAATTACAATTGATTACATTACAATTTTAGTAGGTACATAAAATCACTATTACGCCTTGTCTATCTCATTTCTGTGTATTTCAAATCTATACATATAATAAAATTCTAACTGAGTCGAATCTGTACATTAAATATTTTTTGGAAAATCTTACTGAAACCGACTGAGGCCAACCGAAATCGAGGAACTGAGGCCGAGTATATAGTTTTTAGAATTTTTGTCTCTGTGTAGAAACAAATCACGAGAAAACCACTGGACAGATTTTGATGAAATTTAGTGTTATGTTACCCGGGTCAACCCATAGGATACTTTTTACTGCGGGAAAATATCTCATCTCTGATCTGAGAACTCTCTGTCGATCAGTCAACGTGACTGTAATTCTCTTTTTAAGGAACAACAATTTAAACATTGAAAAAGCTTGACCACAGATAAATAATAAAAATAAATAATAATAACAATTTTATTCAAATACTTTTACAAAGTTACATATTATTTACAAGCAACGAAATATTTACTTACACATTTGTATAATCTATACATATAATAAAAAACTGAGTCAAATCTGTACATAAACTTTGTTTTTTGGAAAATCTTATTGAAATAGTCATTGTTATCGATACAGAGGCTGAATCCTATAGTTTTTACAATTTTTGTCTGTTTGTCTGGGAAAACATCACGAGAAAACCACTGGACCAATTCTCATTAAATTTGGTATGATATTAGCTGGTTATGCGGGTCAACATATAGGATACTTTTTACTGAAACGTTACAGAAACTTTTTTTTATCGTTAAAACGTACCTAGGGACGAACCCGAGCGGAGCGAGAGTGAGTCTCTAGTTATTACCTAATAAATTCTTAAATGATAAATAACTCAATAAAAATTTGGTTAATGATGAACAGTTAAATAACAACGGATAATAAAACTTGGAACCTACCTAAACTTTTTTTAATGTACGGAAATGCATTTAGGTACGCTTACTACCTGTACGCATACAGGTCATTATGTGGGACTCACCCGGTAGAAAAGCCTGTACTACCCACAAAACCACTCTGATATCAGAGAAGTACCAAGAGTAACCCGCATGGCACAGCGCCCACCAAGGTGGGCTGCCTCCCAGAGTCCCAGTGAGTTTCTTGGCTTCGCGCCCGGCTGGATTGCCCGACGGGACGACGGGACGCTAATGAGGAAATCTAGAAATCTCCACAAAAAATACAATGTTCGGAATTTTTAAATATTTGTTTTAAGAAAATAATAACTATTATAGTTTTTGAGGTTGTTACAAAATTTCTTATATAAAATGTTATAATTAGTAGTCCTTAGAATTTTATTTGGCTAACGCTGGCTAAATCTTAAGAGATATCAAAACAATGTACTAGAAAATTATTATAAAAGTCCACAATAGCATTATATGTCTATCTCCTAAGGTACACTCGCCATACCTACTTTTATCTATACATATAATATAATACAAGTGATAAATTAAAAAATTATCACTTGCATTATATTATTTTATCTTAGACCGATTTTCATCAAACATAGCTAAGAACACACCCGAGTAGGTAATTCACCTTTCAAACAAAATCAAAATCGGATCATTTGTTCGGGAGAACCTTTAACACCCCGTTATTTTTGCTTCGAGGGTTAAAAACAGTAACTTAGCGAAATCGATGTGCGTTCTTCACGTAAACAGATTGATCCGATTTTAACTTAACTTTGTGTAGTGATGATCGGATCGGACTCAAATCCCGGATCTCGCACCTCTGATATTTCATTTGCGAATCATTTCTAACGTGATTACCACTTACGGTGAAGGATAACATTGTGAGGGAACCTGTATGTCTGAGAAAACCTAGCAAGTTTTTGAAAGACATGTGAAGTCCGCCAACCTGCACTTGGCCAGCGTGGTGGATTATGGCCTGTTCCCCCTCGTATTGCAGGGAGGCCCGTGCCCAGCAGTGGGTCGTTAATAAGGGCTGAATATAAAATCAGCCAAATCCATTCATTGTAGCTGAGTTTTGAGATAGGCAAACCTAATTGCACTCGACTAACAAAGAAATTGGACATCGCTAATTCGCGTTATTCTTCCAGCTACTCTTGTTTGCTTCAATAGATTATAATACATGTCGTTAACTGTCGAACTACTTTATTTTTAAATATGAGTAAACTAAAGATTTTTCTTACTAAACTCAGTGACTTAACAATTTTTAAACATATAAAAAAGCACTACCTGTAAATGTGCTGTTCCATTACATACAAGCCACGCTGATTTATCAATAATCGGTAAAATTTAGTTTTCCTTTATTTGCAGAACTTTTTTGAGCCATAATATACCTTTTTGGGATCTATTTTATATCTTTTGATAATTTTACAGAAACTTCAGTATCAAATCGACACATAATACACCATCTTTTGACATTTATTTGAAGAATTTTTCTCCGTTCGTGGTGAGACCCCATAGCCATTAGGTCATGGTCTTATCACCCCATAAACCTAATAATTATCCTTTATTATGGAACTATTAACATAAAGATGAAAATTTTTATTTGTTGTATCGATAAACTAATACTACCGACCGACATTAATAATTTTTTCATCACTAAACATTTATAAATGGTACGAAAAGCTGTTTTAAAACAAAAATCGTAGTATGAGTTGTTATTTTATCCCATAGTAAAAGTAAGAATATGGAAATAGTTAAAATATACTATGCGAGCTACACAATGAGTTCAATTTTTAAGCTCGTCTTTTTTTCACTTTCGAATGTTGCAAAGCTAGTCTTAACAAATAAAATACATATGTTAAAACATAACATAAATATAATTGTTTAAAGCTATTTTTCCATTCTATGGCTTTTTAAACCACACTTGTTTAATTTTTATTCAATATTGTATACGTATAATTAAAAAAGAAAGCTTTTAAACTTGAGTCTGAGGAAAACGTTTCAAATTATTAACTATGCAGGCACTATTGAACTACAAATAAATTATTGTTTCATATTCCAGAAGTAAATGTCATAACGAAAAGAGACGCCGCGAACTTGAAAACGAAGTTATAAATCAGTTGGAGGAACTGCTAGGAACTTGTCTAGCTGAGGTTAAACAGCCAGACAAGAACGGGATAGTACGGGAGGCGACTCGGCAGATCGAGGACGTGTTGCAGAGGCGGAAGGAGTGCCCTGGCGACTGTCCGCAGCGTGTTGCTCAATGTCTCTCACCCGTACAGGCCGGTGAAGTCAGCTCAACTCAGCCACTACCATCTTCTGGTTTTCAGTACTCCGAGCTGAGTACTCTTATTGAGGTAATTTTTAAATGAATACTCAATACATTTTTCCACAAGCTCTCTCTGTGTTCTCTTTTTGTTTGTATTTACTTGTATAATCAATTTGATTTTGGTTCATATGTTACACAATATATGAAATAATAATAATAAACCAGTATTATATTTTAATAATTTTGCAAAAAATTTTTCAGGCGATAAAACATTATACCGGCGTCCTGGGTTTAATATTAATGGAAATAAATTCGAAAGGCGAAATTGAGTGTGTTACAGAAAATATCAAAGATCTTGTTCTTTCAGAAAGGACAGAATTATATAAGAAATCTATATTCTCTCTATTGCATGCCGATGATCATGCTAAAATAAAACCATTATTGAGAAATATACAAAATTTTACGTGGGGCTCTGGAGACTCTGAGAAATCTCAATACATACATGCTCGTCTTCTTATAAAAGACCCTAATGTTCCTGACAATAGTAGGTTTGTATTATTTCTACTACTACCATCTATTTTTCGTATATTATTATTAAGTATCTGATATTTTTAAATTTATACAGAAATGTATAACTGATAAATTGCTAATTGGTTTTTCAATACTACTATTATAAATGTGAAAGTGTTTGTTTGTTTGTTTGTTTGTTTGTTTGTTTGTTTGTTTGTTTGTTTGTTTGTCCTTGTTTTACATCGAAACAGAGTGACATATGCTACTTTTTACCGCGGGAGATCTCATTTCCACGGGAAAACACGTTATAATACAACACACACCTATGTATACACCCATCATACCTATTTAGTCATTCATTATTATTGGTCATTCCACTAAATAAAATCATTTTTACTGGGCGACCCCCGCCGATGTTTTTCTAAATTGGTGGAGGAGTTCTCTACTTTAAGCATAAAAATCCCTGAAAGTTTCAGCTCTTAATATTTTCGAAATTCTGAGAAAAATTTTTTTTCAACGTTTTCATCATTTTTTTTGACTTAAAAAACTTCACATCCTAACACCGCAAGATTTGTTCACCTGGGCTACCAAAAATTTCTCTGCCGTTGATTTTATTTTTATTACGTATTTATTAGAATTTTTTTATCAGAATTTCAAAACTGCATAACTTCGAAACGGCTAAATATGAAGAGTTGAAACTTTCAGGGATTTTTTTCTCAAAGTAGAGAACCGCCCGTAACCCCGCGTAAAAATGATGTCCATCTATTCCATACTAACCGTTAAAATGTATGTGTGAGTGAAGCGAGGGTGAGTCGCTAGGCTTTTATAAAAAAAATACTTAATATGATTATGTGTCTTTTATTCTAAAACTAGCGGCTCACCCTCGCTTTGCTCGGGTTTGTCTCTAGGGATAAAAACAATCCTATCACCACCCACGGCAAACGTACATTTTCCGGGATAAAAAGTAGCCTTTGCCTTAGGTCAAAATGACGTCCGTCACACAATTGATTTAGTAAGAAAGACGCTATCCTGTTTTTGTAATGTTTTACTTTCCTGCTGGAACTCGTCACTTTTATGGGATTTATAAATTTTATAATACAAATTGTTTGACTGGCAATCTATGGTATCAGCATGCTAAATTTTAATAAATTAGGTGCATAAGTTGTTGTGTACTAAGCTCTATAAGTATATTTAAGCTATAAAGTATAGTTAAACTGTTTTTTTGTTTGTTTTTTAACTATCCCACGGAAAATTTAATTTTCCGGGATGAAAAGTATCTAAAATGTGGACCGGGGATATAAGGTACAACCATGTAAAATTTCATTTAAATCGGTCCAACAGTTTTGGACATAAGCCCATACAAACCTACAAACTGACAGAGAAACAAAAAAAATGAAAAAAATCTGCATTTGTTTTATTTCTCTTCTTAAATCTCCCTGACTCGGTTTTAAGCATTTTTTTCTATGTACAGACATTTGACCTATACAGTTTTATTATATATATAGATATTATATAGATAACACATGGAATTCCATGTAAGATTGATTCATTCGGTGATTTGAATTAAATGTCAATTATGGCTATTGTCAAGCCTATATATAGGTAGCATCTAGTTGTATAAAAGTAAATAGCTTATTGTTATACATATAATTAATCTTGAATAATTAAAGTAAAAAGTTAGTGGTAACCCAGTAGTAACGCGCTCGGACCTCTGATATTTTCATGTGTGAATCATTTCCAACATGATTACCACTTGTCTTAGCGGTGAAGGAAAACATCGTGAGGAAACCTGCATGTCTGAGAGAACCTAGCAAGTTTTCAAAAAGACATGTGAAGTCCGCCAACCCGCACTTGGCCAGCGTGGTGAACTATGGCCTGATCCCCCTCGTATCGAAGGAGGCTCGCGCCCAGCAGTAGGACGTTAAAAAGCGCTGAATACATATATATAAATAAAATAAATAAATAAATATGTCAGTACATTAACATACATTTAAAGTAAAATATATAGGTGACGATAAAATATATAGATATTATATGTATAACGTTTATTAAAATATCATCACTTATTATCGCAAAATAATGATGAAATAGGATTTTTAATATATAAAGTGCGTTATATTGTTGGTGTCACACAGATTTGTGGACACGGTGATCCACGCTGCGCCAGTACGCAGCTCATCCACGGAGGAGGCCGGCTCCGTCATGTGCGTCATTCGGCGCTGTGAGTCGGCCAACGACGGCAGACCCACCATCGTTTTCAGATTGGATTGCAACTTTAATATCTTATGTAAGAAATGTTATCGTCTACTAATCTTTTAATTATTTTATATTTTTATCACAATTATTTATAAATTTTAATATATCTCTTTTTCAGCTTGTGATTTGTCCAAAGTGGAAAACTGTATAAACTTTCCTCTATCACTTGTGGGAACTCGTTATTTAGACCTTGTGGAAAGCGTAGATCGTGCGCAAGTACACACACATCTACAGGACGTGGTGGGCCGAGCCGGGCACCTCGTGATCAGCGATCCCTATCGACTGCGACTGGCGGCTAACGCTCCGCTCTTCAGAGTGAGCGCTCAGTCTCGACACTTTCCCACCGTCGGCGAGCCTGACTTCATAATGTCCACGAATACCGTGCTCGGAGAGGACGATGTGGACCTACTCGAAGCGGGAGCTTCTCGTGGGTCTCTCGGCGGGCCTCTTATGACATCCGTCGCTGAAGGTGAATCCTCAGCTTCCGATCCACGGTTTCGCTCCTCAATGAGTCCCGGCAACCATCAATTTATGAACGACTTCGATATCGAAACGTGGCCGGGTTCTTTTCAAATGGGTGATATGAACGAGGATGTCAAGGAGCGTAAGGACAACAGCGTACCCGACGAACAAGCGGCTCACGCCTCGCCTGCACAGCACGTAGACGTCCCGGCCCCGCTGCCCCTTCACGAGGAGCCGACGCGACTGCGGAGCCTGTTAAGCAAGAAGCCGGATACGAACATTCTGATAGATTTATTAAAGCAAGAAGACGAAGAGGCGACGAATAGTGAGACATCGGCGCCTCACACGCCGCACACGCCGCACACGCCGCACACGCCGCTGACGCCGGCGTCGGCGCTGTCGCCGCTGCACTCCAGCAAGGCGCACGCGCGCGCGCCGCACCTGGCGCACCCGCCGCAGCCCCCGCAGCCGCCGCAGGCGCAGCAACCGCCGCACACCTCGCATCAACCTCATCATAATAACCAGTTACTCAGGGTGAGCCATTTTCATAATATCACAAATAAGCGACATTAGAACTTCTATTCCATTTAACTATAATTTAGTTAAGTTTTGAATTCAATATTGAAATTACAAGCAGACATTTACTTTTTTATAGATATTAAATGATAAATCTGACGAGGATGGCGATGAAAGCAGAAGAAATTCAATAGACCATAGTCGCAGTTCGTCCCAATCGAGTGCCCTCCTTACACAGCTCCTCTCGAATACTAACGGCCCTTCCAGCAATGGCCGCTCCCAGGAGAGCAGCGATATGTATATCGCAGGCATGAAAAGGAAGCTGGAGGAGTCCAAAGCCTCAGCCAGTATGGCCAAGAGAGCTACGCCCGAAAACCAACAGGTACCAGCAATAATATTACACTCAATAAATAAATAAAATAAAGTGTCGTTAGAGTATAGGTGTGTGTATATAATAAAATATATCAAATAATAATATGTATTTTTGGACGAGATATTCTGTCTATTCGAGCACGCCATTTTTTGTTTTCCTTTGGTGTTTTTATTTTTTGTTCCCAACGAATGCCTTACAGCAACCACTAAGGTTGCTGTAAGGCATTCGTTGAACTATATTCATGGAACAGACTAAGGCTTTTGCCGTCTAAATGTTTATTTAAAAAGAAAATATTGTTTCAAATTCACTTTGACCTGTAGTACTAGATGGGCAGGACTCGATCACCATGAACGAAAGAAAGAAATAATGTCAATAAGTAGTAATAAAAAACTCATGTATATTGTGTATTAATTTAAAATATTAATTTTTAATGATTTAAACTTACTTATTTTAAAACGAACTATCTTTGAGTTAATAAAAAGTCATTTAAAAATGTTCTTTTAGTTTTATAAGAATTTTCCAATCTTTTTGAAAACTTTTTTAATTTTCCCCCTAAAAGCTTATTCGAATTATTGCGTCAATTTTAAAAAGATAGCCCCATCGGTCCAGCCGCTCTCAAGTAATGAACTTACCAAAGGACAGTGTCTGAGTTTTATTTATATAGATCGAATTTTATGATGCGCATAATGTTTAATACAATTTGAACTTAAACGAGCAGGTATCATCAAGCGCAGCGAGCTCCGGCGCCACGACGTCCACGTCGACGTCGAGTGCGAGCAGCCCCACCACGAGCAGCAGCGCGAGCAGCCTGTGCATGCGCAACCAGATCCTGGTGTCGCTGCTGGCGCGCGAGCCCACCACGCCGCCCACGCCCGCGCCGCTCATCCGCCCCAGCGCGGGCCGCGCGCGCGCGCCGCCCGCTCTGCCGCACCCGCACCCGCGCGCCCAGGCCCACGTGTACACGCACCTCGACCACGCCCTCCATCTGCAACAGCGGCATTCTCATCACACTATCTCCAACATCTATAATGCTGCGTAAGTGCCTTACTTTTTTATAGTAGTTTTTTTCACACTTAATTGACAAATGCCATCATACAGGTATTATTTTTGTATTATTTTTAAATTATAGGTCATAACTTTCATAGATAATACCTCTTTTTATTGTTGAAAACTGTGTGAAAATCTGTAAAGAAATTTCTGAGATAAGTCAAAATAAATATGAACTTAACATTAACTAAGAGGTCTATCACAAAATGTACTGTGTTCTTTGGTATTGAGTTGAAGCGGTCGACGCATCGCTGTTTCTAGCATTTTCTGCAATTTAATTACTTCTATGTAATGTTTTAATTACTTCTCTGTAAAGTTTTATAATAAATTATTTAAAAAAAAGTATGTAATTACGTTTCTTTTGAACTGACGTAGATATATTCTGGTATAAATTGTACTTAATAATATTAATATTATAAGGATATATTTACAGCTAATTCTGAACGTTTTTAATACTTTTAAGATTTTGAAAAGGATTTTTTTGTAGAAATCCAATGCAATACACATTCAGAGGCCGCTATAAGTTCAACCACTATAATATACGTGTATTTCAATTGACGAGCTTGAAAGAGTGCCGTCGCGCATTTTATTAAAAACTTGCTTCGGAAATTTGGCTTTATTTCAACTAATAATAAAAATTTGCAAAAAGCGAGGCCGCTATGAATTATGTTAATAATTACTCTCCACCATACAATAAGTCCAAATTGTCGAAGAGTTTCAGCTTCTCTGAACAAGAACGCCAAAGATGGGCATTAAATTGAAAAATCACGGTCATAATGTAATAGGCCTCTTAACACCTCCAAGTAAATTTCTAAGAAATTAATTAAAATTCTAAGAAATTAATTCTTAACTGAGACGCCGGCGTATCCGCGGTCGTGGAGTGATTAAATTGTTGATACTGTAATTATTTAAGTAAACATAGGTGCAACAATGGATTGAATTTATATGAAATATGACGTTATACATTGACAAGATAAAATCATGTCAAAAATTAAAATGTAAATGTTGAACTTGTAGAAATCGCGGTAACAACATGAACGGCGGGCCGGGGCCGGGGCCAGGTCCGGGGCCGGGTGCGGGCCCGAGCCCGGGGCCCGCGTCGTCGGCGGCGAGCGCGGAGTGCGGCGGGCTGGCGGGCGCGCAGACGTCGCAGGGCTCGCAGAGTCACCTGCAGATGGTGCTGCAGGGCGGCGCGCGCAGCGTCTACCAGACGGCGGGCGCGCAGGCGCCGCCGCACTACGCCACGTCGGCCGCGCACGCCGCCTTCTCTGCCCACTCCGCCCACTCCGCCCTCACCGCCCACCACGCCTTCACAAATCAAGCTCAGTGAGTTTCATAAGCGCATACTCTTATTATATTTTTACTATCATCCTTTTTTGCCATTAAGTGCCAGAAGATATATCAAATAGAATAAAAACTGTAATACGTTAAAATTCTCAACATTTCACTTCTACATGTTATACTAGTTTACGCCCGCGACTCTGTTCCTGTTGTAGCGATATTGAAAAAAATATGTATAATATGTTTATAAAGAATGTAAGCAATGTCCATTCTAAAAAATTAATTAAACTGTCTATACATTTAAGCTACTACAAAATTAAGTGTTTTTCACCTCTTTAACTTTTTGTATTATACTATGGTGATAAATCAGTATCACTGTTTGAAATGTATATTATTTTGAATTATTCGTACAGAAGCAGTATACGGACACCAGGCGGAACTGGTGGTGACAGCGAGGTACCTAATGATAAAACATTGTCAGATATTTTGGACGAAGTAATCGAAAATATGCCCTACAATGATCGGTCAGCTCCTGATGTTAATGTGATATTGGATTTGGAAAGCAATCGACAATTGCGATCCGATTACGCTGTAAGTTCCTTGTCAATTTAAAATAAAAGTTTTCTTTCAATTTCGTATTATATTTAATATTTGTAACAAAATTTCAGGGCGTAAAAGAAAAAAATGCTGTCATAAACGCTATAACACAAAGTCTTATGCAATGTGAAACAGCAACTAAAAGTCCAGTGCCATCAAGTCCGGGTGCGCCACCTGTTTACCCCGTACAGAGCCAAGTAAGCTGTTCGTTATATATACTTTTGCCTTATTTGAGATACATGCATACATATAACTTTGTTATATTACCTTAGACTATTACTTGTATTGAAAAATGTTTATGCTACTAACATATTTATACTGCTTTCGCCGAATGGATCAAGCACTGAGATTTTACGCTTCCACGTGATCAGTTGAAGATATAAAAGACGCTTACATTATTATTATATTAAATTACAAATTATTAATAATTCCTTATTAAAGCATTAGCAACATGAACGTCCCCTATGATTTCAAACCAGTTGACAGACAGTTTTCTGTCCTTATCAGTTTGTATGCTAATGTGGGACAAAAAAAGCGCTTTGCATGGTTCACTCTGTGAACAGAGTATAATAATAAGTGAATTAAGTGATGGATGTTATATTATATAACTAAGCTTTGGATGCTATATAATAAATCGTTACTTATATATTAACGAAGGTACATAAACATTTAAGATATTTGACAAACAATAGAATATAATTGGTGAAAAATGATGAAGGAAACCGATTCCAAAATGCTATATCAAAAAGCTATTTAAAGATAGATATTGGGATACAATATTCATTAGCGAGAGCGTTGCAGGGCGCGGGCAGCCTGAGCGGCGGCGGCGGCGGCGGCGCGTACGGGCTGGCGCGCGGCGAGGCGGACGGCGCGCGCGCCCGCGCCGTGGTGGAGCAGCACCGCGCGCGCCTGCTGCAGATGCAGCGCTCCCAGCAGATGCTCGTCTCGCCGGAGGTAGGTTTGCCGAATACAAACATGCAGGGGCGTTTAGGTTGGCTTGTGTGGGTTTGCAAACACTTTTAGCTGGTTCTGGTTCTTGTATACAAATCGAAGGAAATTTGCGGCAAGATCTTGTGATGCATTCATACGTTTGCACGTTTGTAGAGATTTAATGTTTGTGGCGAAAGGCAAACGTGTGGTCGTGTGGACCCGACATAATATTTGTTTTTTAGCGTGTATAGGATGCCCTGTAGCACGACAGATCGACGATTTAAGAAATAAACGGATGGATGTGGGCTGCCCCAAACCGATATAGTAACTTTTGGGGGACTCCGTTCGGCAGGGGACGGCGAAAGACTAATAGTATATATATGAAATGCCTCGATGGTCTACTAGCATGTAAGGCTGCAGGTCCATATATCCTGCGTTCGAGATCCGGGTCGGGCCAAGTTTATTTATGTAAATTATTAATAAATATAAATAAATGCAAATTATTAATAACATTCAGAATATGGCGACCCCCATGTCTCGGAGTACGTAAAGCTGTTGTTATTGTGCCATATCTCTCATCGCGCTCGTGTCGAATAGTCATCTAATCGGAGTGTAAGAGGATTGCGAGTGCGTTTTTTTGGGTGCATACTTATGCACTATAATATTATTATCCTGGCCATATGTCTAGTCTCAGTAGGTTTAACCGCCCTAGTTGAAATCGGTCAGGACGACATTATTATTATATGATTTTTATTTTATTTACAACTAACATAAATATAATCCCTAATGTTTTATTGTTTTTTTATAAATCTCATTGAAATCCATTTAGTTATTCTTGAGTAAAGCGCGAATGGAAAGAAAACCCTAATAACTCACAATTAATGTTTAACAAATTCATTAATGTTCAACTAACCTAGTTTTCTTAAAAAAAATACTCAATATAAAACCTTCACCCTGATACAACATTATAGATAACAATATAAAAAATACGTTTATGTTTTAACTTTAATATAAACTTGAAGAATTGCCGCTTCTCGACTTACTTTGACATGCATCAGACTATACCTACACACACGAGTGTTCAAATGTACCAAACGAAAATCGAATGAGTTTTAAATAATAATAGGTTTTTAGGTATTATAAATAAAAATTATAACGCTCTTATTCCAGAGTCAAGGTTGTCAGTTGGTTTCATTATATTTTTTATCTATATATTAGGCAATAAAAATGATGTTGCTTGACTTCGAACACGAATTTGTTAAGCAGAACCTTAGTGAATAAGTGACCTTGAGGCGTAATCGAAGGTTCCATAGGTTTTTTTACGAGTAGTTGCCAATATAATATGATTCATTCGCCTTACTCGTATTTCCGGTGTGTCGTCACATACCTAGTTAGTATTCTATTTCTAATCATGTGAAATAAAACAAGTACTTAACAGTTAACGCACACTTGTTCGTTTATTCATTTAAAGGTTAAACATTTACTTGTGTATGTTAAATTTATATTAAGGCCCTGGTTTAAGTTATCATTAATGTATGATTAACGGATGCCAGTAATTAAATTATAATCCTCGTTAAAGTTATAAAGAAGTTAAGTTTGTAAATTTGTATGCAAGAAATAAACTCAGTAACAATTGATTGGATTTTATAATAGATCTTTACCTATGAAGTTGACGTTTTCCAATACTGGCCATTTGAAACGAAATAATGAATGGTCGGCACTAAATTTTAAATTCAAATGATTTTTTTTTCAAAAGAATTTTATTTCAAAAGTATAGAGTTCTATTTTTAATTTCAGTCATTTGTTTATTGATTAGTTTTTTGTTTTCACTAGATTTGTATCTTTTTCATCAATATTTTTCATCAAGATTACCACTGCGCTGGATACTACCTATATTTTAATTTATAGAAATAAAAGATATTAAAAAAATATCTAACTTTCTGTTATATATTATACTAGCATTGCCCGCTGCTCCGCCCGCGTACAGATGACCAAAAACCAAATTCTTAGGATTTACATATTAGTATACTCTTACAATGCAGTTTTTGTATTCTTTCTCAGAAATGAGATATTTTCTCGCGGTGAAAATCCCTCCGGTGGGTTTTCCGTGATGCGGTAACACAAACAGACAGACAGACAGACAGACAGACAGACAAAAATTCTAAAAACTAGATTCGGCCTCTATATCGATAATAATGTCTATTTCAATAAGATTTTCCAAAAAAATATTTAATGTACAGATTCGGCTTAGTTACAATTTTATTATATGTATAGATTAAACGTCAATTTCATAGTTAAAAACTATTATATTTTTTATAAAACTACATTGTCCCAGTGTAGCGCTAAAGAATATTTTTGATGTATAACATCTTTCCTCTCGCTTTCCTGCAATCTGTGTGAGTGATTTCGTGAAAAGGGACGAAAGTGTGTAACAGAAGCCGGGGAATCGCGCGATATTTTTTTTATATGAAATGAAAGGGCTTGATGAGTGAAACACAATAAGCAAAGTGACGTCATTGTAAATCCAATATGGCGAACTCCCAAACATTGTGGGTTATTTTTATGCACCTCCATGATATGGATATAAAGTGAAAGGTTTTGCTGAGAAGAATTTGAAAAAAAAGTAAAAAACGTTAAAATAAAGTTTAAACATTAAAAAAACAAACTTTTATTTAAATGCTCTAAAAAACAAAGAGGTATAACTTCTTACGTGCGTACATGAGTACACGCACACCTTTTTAAAGTTTTGAGGTTAATTTCTGTCAGTGCTTGATTGATATTCTTAATTTTGATTAAAAAACCAAATTAATTAATTACACGGATAATTTCTATGGTGGACTGTATGACGTTGAAACAAAACAGTTCTTAAACTTAAAATTAAACCATAAATAATACAGCTTTTCACATTTCTCTTATACATACAATTTTACTCTTATCATCTAAACGGGTTATCCGATTTTTATAATTCCAATTGGAATATTAGTTCTAGACTAGACTAGTATCGAGTGACGTCTGCTTTATATTCATCTATTCCTAGTAACTCGGACGAACAGGGCTCTGAGCGTAGAATAAGCCCCATGACCTCAATTTCTTTGTTTAAAATTATAAATATGATAAAAATTGTATTGTATATTTATTTCAATAATAATTTCAGGCCGCTGAGCAGCCACAGGCAGATCTGGGTTCCACTATAAATGCTTTGGTTTCCGGTACGCCGCCTAATGTTGCTCTCAAACGTACGGACTTCCATCACTTGTATCACCATCCAAGTTCGTATGCTCAATGAAATTGGTTTATATTATATAATTACGTTATGTTTTACTAATTAAATATAAAATAATGTTTTTTGCTTTATAGATCAAATGGGGTCGAATTATGGCACAAATAAAATGGCACCATCACAACAAAATCCGATGCTGAGTCGGCAACTTGTAAGTTATAAAAAAAACCTAAAATTTGCTTAAACTAAGTCCTAGTGGTATTCGTGACATTGTTCTTGATCTCATTGCTTCATATCTTAGTGGTAGGGTTCAGAAAGTCGCTGTAAATAACGTTAATTCTTTCGGATCCCCTTTGAGAATGGGTGTTCCAAAGAAAAGAAGAGAATGGTGGGTCCCACAAGTGCCTTTGTTGGATAATTGCTTAGACTATGTGTACATCTTTTGCTGTATAGTATTATTATATAAATATATTTGAAGCCACATAATGTACTATAGCAGGGCGGGAGCACAAGCGGCGCGGGCGCATACGCGGCGGCGCTGCACACGCCCGTCGCGCCGCAGCCCTACCACCGCGCACCCCGGCCCCTACATGGTACGTTACTTGTATATATACACTATAATAACTATAATTTATTTATTTAATACGTATTTAGGATTATTAGTATAGTATATTTGTTTAAATAATTCGTTTGTAATTAATTATAAGGCAATCATCTTGTCCGTGATGACATTTCTATGGCCTTAAACTACCAATGTTTTTCTAATTAGTATTGATTAGAAGAAATAATTAAGTTATATTTACGAAATATTGGTTTTTTACACATCACATATAGCTATTTGTTTTAGAATTTATCGATTTATTCCATAACATTGTATAATTTTAATTATTATTTCAATTTTTATTACATTTAAAATATTTAACGATATTTTAATTTTTACAATTTCTTGCGCTTATGGATTTAGTATGTGTGAATTCGTTTTGCAACATATATTAGTATCCTATTTCATTAATATAATATATTACTTATTGAATAGATAAATTTCAATTTGTCGTTGAGGTTTGTATGTTCATGTTCAGTGCTGTAAGTGTGAAGAAATTAATATAGGTATTTAAATATTCAGTCTGATCCAAGGTTACTATGGTGCGCTTTTATGCATATATTTATACTAATTTATTTTGAGGTAGACCTAGATCTTTCATCCTTGAACATATCTAAGAAAAAGCATGGTTATTCTAAGATAATAATAATTTATTTGGCATGCCCTGTAGATATTGGAGTAAATATGTATATTTTATTTAAGAAATAAAATCTAGATTTTAATTATTTCTGAACTAATTGCATGGTTATAATTCGCTTCGAAGTTCAGTTATCGATATCAAAACGATAGCTAGAGTTGGTCCACTAGAAAGACGAGCTTTACGAATGGCGTAACGTTCGCGCGATTTCGTCCATCGAATCGGTCGCCGCCGCTCGGGTTCGGCCGAACACCAAGTAGGTAGGTCGCGGCGAGCGTCGCCGGGCGATATTATATGAGGCGTGTGTGGCAGTGGGCGGCTACTATGACGAGGGCGACGCGGGCGCGGGCCCCTACTGCGGCGAGTACGCGCGCCGCGTGCCGCACGCCGCGCACGCGCACCCGTCGCACCCGCCGCATCCGCCGCATCCGCCGCACCCGCCGCACCCGCCGCACCCGTCGCATGACCACCAGCTCTCATGTGAGTATGCACGAGACGACGTATATCATGAAATAAATTATTGAAATGTATCTCCAATTATTTTAGACAAAATTTATATTAACCCGCTTGTGCCCAATAATCTAATGAATTTTACCAATGTTCTCCCCGCTGTTCGGCGTTGACTCGTGACGACGAAAGGTAAACGGTAGTTTCGTAGCGCAAAAAACTTCTCTTTAACTGTCGTCTTGCATGTGTATTAATTTTGTCATATGACAGAAATCTTTCGCTTCTATATTAATTATAACATTTACAATTATTTATAGCGTCGGCTAAACGACATTTCTCACCCTTATATTATATTTATTTTTTGGATCAGTCTGGTTAGCGATTTCAGTGGAATTGTATAAATGTAAATATTTTGTCGCGTCGATGGTTGGTAATGTTCTCGTCGATATATCCAGGCAGTAGCGGTGTGGGGAACGTGAGCGGCGTGGGGGGCGGCGCGGGGAGCGGCGCGGCGGGCGGCGCGACGGGCGGCACGTCGGAGTACGTGCGCAACGAGCTGCGCGCCATCGTGGGCGCGCGCTCGGCGCGCCCCGACATGCCCGCCATGCACGCGCCCGAACTCGACCCCATGCTCACTTTCGACATGCCCGCTCCCGGTTAGTAAACACTTCGCCTTTATATTTTTAAAACTAGCTAATTAGTACGTGTCTCCATTCTTTGTACAGGAGCAGCTGGCCGATACCACTGTCGATCTTCTAATGGCGTTTTAACACAGAATATTTTTATATTATAAGTGTTGATTTCGTTATTTTTAAGGTCTTTAGACGATGATGTTATCTTTATAAATGTCTTTATGTTTTAAGTGAGAAATAATTATTTTATAGTATATTAAAAGAGCAAATAATTTAATGCAATTTAAACACATATTGAAGTATATCGTATCATCTCTTTGAAATTAACCCCTAATCCCTTTTATATTTATAGGAATTAGACCGACGCGACTGCAGATATTGATAAATCCTTAAACGAAGTGTACCCAAAAGTATTTATAGTTTTTCTGTGCTTTTTTTGTTCCATCTATTAAAGATTTCCCCACTTTGCGTCAATTAAAAAGTAATGTATTCGAGATAATAGAGTACACTCCTATTTCAAATATTTTCTATCTTTTCCTTTTTGTTTCTAGTCAAAATGTATTTTTCTTATAAATAATTTACGATTGTGTCCAAATGATTATATAACCTTTAAATCTCAGCATTATGTAAAAATAGTTTCATTTTATGGTTACACTTTCTTATTCAAGGACGATACTATGTTTTCCATTTGTACCGTTGACTGCGAAATATGTGCTAGTTTTAACGTTCCAAGGTAAATAGATATTGGTAAGTTTAAGTTTAATAATTCAATTTTGTAGGCATCGATCGAATATTATACGATCGAACTACCTTAAAATATTAAATACTACAATCATTTGGATTATTTAAAATTTTACTTAAAATATATGTACGGCATCGTATCTTCGAACTTCGAGTCACTTTAAAGGAGATTCATCGAAGACTAAATTAATGTAAGAATTTGTAAATATTTGTATAAAATAATAAAGAGTAGCGAGGTGACATAGAGGGAATGCCAGTTTCTCGTTCGTTCTCGGTCTCTGGCAATGAATCGTGTGTGGTACGTAGGTGGCGGCGCGGCGCTGGGGGGGCGCGCGGCGGCGGCGTGGGGCGCGCGGCGCAGCACCTCGGTAAGCTGGGACGCGCCGAGACCATCCTCACTCACTATACTATCTCTCGGTTTCCATTATTATTTGTAGAATTACATCTCTAAATATTACGTACTCAGTCTGCTCCGCTGCGTGTGTGTCGAGTCGATCGCATCGATTGATTAGAGGCTGATTGATAGAAATGTGCCAACGTGCTGTTGTACGACGGTGTCTGTGGCTCGCGTGCGGCTCACCGATTTCGATTGATTGTTAGTGATTAAAAAAATTAAAAAAAAAATTGGCACGTTTCTGCAATTAATAAAAAAGCTTATGTGATGTGATGTCCAATAATATTTCTTAGAGATATTTATTTAATAATAAAGTATTTTGCATTTTGAGATATCTTATTAGATAAATTTGATTCATAAAAACATGATTAAAATCATCGCTTTCTAGGTTTTCCGTACTTGTGACATTTCAGCTTTTTCAAAAAATGGGATAATTCGCATGCGCAATCGGTATTGTTTGGTGAAGGTTTTATATGAATTGTAGTTAAATAATGATTACGTAATTTTGTTACTAGAGTGCTTATTTTTGGCTTCAAAGATGTGTTTATAGCATACGAATTATTGCGTTTATCAAATGCCGTATAAGTCACTAAGGTGATAGCATGATGATTCTTTACTACAACTTAAGAGAGGGAGGTACGATCAAAATTTTATTAACAGTTCAAAGTCGGTATATGTTTTACATATTTTTCATTAATAATTTAAGAATTAATAAGACGTCTTTTTTAATGACATATGTATTTCGGTATAATTCCGTATGACGGAGAAAGGCTACAATAAATTTTATTTTATTAAAAAGTATTGTCTAAGTAATTAAAATCCACTATTTACCTTGTTTATAGGTATATATTTAAGATGTTACTGAATAACAATGATTCCTTTTCTTTGTAATTTCAATATATAGTAGATACAAATTATTTTGTGACTCAGTAGGTAGTTTTACATATTTATGGCCACTACGTAAAACCTACAAATTATATTTAATCTTTTCGAGACAAGGTGAATTACATATCATATTTTAAGAGGATTTCAAACTTAGATATGTACAAGATGTGAGTTCTAAAATTAAGAGAAAAGCGAGTGGATAAATTTTGTTCTTCCTACAAAATATTTATTGAACTTATGTAGGAACCTACCTGTTTCATTTTCTCACAGTTGGTAATAAACAATGTATTCATCCCTAGAGCCTGAGTCCAAACAAGAATCAATACAATGAACAAAAATACCAAAGGTACCAGTTTTTAAAGAAAGACCAAGAGACCATCACGAGGGTACCACGTGTACTGAAGTATACTAAGGTCTAATGTAAAAAGTAATATATATATATAATCATTTTTAAATGAAAATAAATAGTTCTAATTATAAAATATTTATGGTGGTTTCAGTCCATTTTAAGGGCAAATACGATCATATTTTAAGATGGCTTAGAATTAATGTATTTTAAGTTGACGGTAAATGTGTCCAAAGAAGTTTTTATTGAAAAGTAAAAATATTTGGTCAATTTAATTTTGAATCCTTCATCTATGTATGTATCGACATATATTTCTTTTTACTGATCTGGTCTCTGGACGTCAGTTATTATAAATTTTTAATACAAAACTTTAGGCTTTTCATATTTTTTTTTAATTTCAGTAGATACGATTCTATTTTTTTGAAATTGGGATGGGTAAGTTATTAAATCATTCAAATGTTTATTTTTCAGTAATACTTTTTAATTTAAGTTTGGATATAAATTGATCGACGCGCAGATGAGTATAATAGTATAATATTAAAATAGTACAATGATTTAAAGGTTTCATACTTAAAAGTTGACATAAAATCATGTTGTTACAGTTATTATTAATTGATATTTTGATCGATCCTCTCTATTCATGCAATTGTATACTTTTGAAACTGGCCTTTCAGTATGTTAAGAAATGTCAACACCGATACTTAAGCTTATAGATAATAATTAATAATAAAATATTTGAATTTTTGTACTAAAGTTGCTTTATATTTATATAGCAGCCTTTATTTTGTATCATTTGTAGCTAATGAAAAATACATAAATCGAGTTATTCACTATTAATTAAAAGTAAACGCTTTTTGCATGAATATACATATACCTAGAGATAAGTACTACACAAATATAATGCAACTTTAACCTCTTTATTATCCTATAAAAATCCAGCGATAAGTAAGTAGGTTTTTACTTGACTAATAATCTGATAAGTGGCAACATTTATATAAGAAATAAAACAAAATTATAAATAATAATAATTTTAAAAGAAAATTGCAACGTCCGTCGGTGACCTAAGTCCAAGGCGTACCGTAGCAAGACCTGTCTATAGTAGTAAAATATACAATTCAAGCGATCTAACTTGCCGGATTAAAGAAAGCGCCATTAACGTTGTAATAAACGTTTTCTGACCAAATTACGTGGTATAGGAACGAACTAGAATCAGGTGAAGTCAGATGGCTCGTATTTTGAATGTCGTGCTTCAGATTGGACATGTACTGACAGAATGTGTCTGTTTCGACAGAGTACTACGGAGGCGGGCTCGGCGGAGGGGGCGGGGGCGGCGGCGGGCGGTGATGAGGCAGCGGCGGCTGGGGCTTCGGGGGGCCCGGCGGGGGGCGCGGGGGGCCCGGCGGGGGGCGCGGAGGGCCCGGCGCCCGCTAAGGCGTCGCTGCTGCAGAAGCTGCTCTCGCAGTGACGCCCCAGCTTCTCCCACCATGCATTTACCGCCGGCCGGCCGCGCCCGCTGGACGGCGGCGACTAGCTGCCCCCACGTACGTCTCTTTACGGATAGTGATATGTAGTCTTGTAGTGATAGTGATATTTTCCTTTAATGAACCCTTGAGTCGTATGCGGATCATTAAGTTCTATGAGAACTCTGTTTACTTCTAAACGTAGATGTTATCGTCTATGCGTAATTTTCGCCGAGGTACATGATGTAGCTTCCTGTGAAGGAGTAAATTTTGTGATTTGCAATATGATTCGTACGCCTAGTTTACATACATTAACATACAATAGAGACATACAGCGTGCAATATTGTATAATATAAAACACATTTTTGGCGTTGTGAACGTTTATGTATTATAGTGTGAAAGTCAGATGTTACCTGTTATGACAAAGTTAAGTTGTATTTTAGTATTGGATGGCGACGGAGGTTACTCGACCACTGTACTCGGAGAAGTAGTAATATGTTGCAAGCAAAGCCGTGTATATTCGATTATGCTATTTACATAATTGTAACCGACTAAAACTAATCATTTCTACCTATTTCAAAGAGTACAGAATTGAGTAAGCTTATATGTAAATAATATGTTGTTAAGTTATAGCCAACACTTTAGTGTAAATATTTTGTTAAACTATCTTTGTGTTTCTATGGTACAATAATTTTCTTGTAATATTATTATAATTATAAATCATTTATTGATTTTATTAAAATTGTTTTAACGTATACTTTAATACAAATATTTGTTATTTTTATTTTATTTGCCTGCGAGCTCATTTTTTACGATCTTAGTTCTTGGAACTATTGATGATAAACGATTTTTTTTTTGGCTTTTCGTATAATTATTTGTTAAATTTTACAAGAAACTATGACACTTTACAAACGCTTAAATTGCCCGGTGACACCAAGTTTTTTTCTCTTCTTTTTTTCCTTAACTCGGTACCAGCTACTTGATGTCCAGTTAGTTTGATATGTTACGATGCATTTTTATTATACTTAAACACGCCTATTAAAAATACTCAATTTATCCAAGGACTTCGAAACGACCCATTTTAGTTTCGTTACTTTAATTTGGTCGATGATTTTTGTTTGGCTTTATTTCTTTATTTAGTTATAAATTTACCATTTATCGAACAGCTTAGGAATATACAGGGCCAAACCTCTCAGAATTAAAGGGCTTCTATGTGCTACAACCATATAAGTACTATGTCATGTGTTTTGCTTTATACATAAATATGCGCGTTATTATTATTATCTTACCGTTCATACAACTATACTTCTAATATTTCAGCGCTCGGATATTTATATGAATATTAACAGACACTAACTTAAACTATTTTTTTAATGTCAAGGCAATACTATTCAAGTTGGAACTAAAATATGAATTACGTTTTTGTTGAGTTTTACCAAGTTAAAGAATTTGACTGTTAAAAGAATATCTGGCAGAGAAAATAAGAAGTGGACTAATAGTATTATAGTGTACTACTAGCAATAGTACCTACTACAAAGTTAATTTGCATGAAATTTTCAATTATTTTTTAGTATAAAGCTAGAATTTGAACCACTATGCAAGTAAGGGTTATCCAGCTTCGAATTAGCGTTACGGTCATTTATATAATAAAAATATTGAGGTTCATCGGCCTTGTAGCATACGCTAGAAGTATAGAGTCGCGAAGTCATACAATTCATACATTTTAATGTAGGAAACACCTATAGTAATTTAGCTTTTATCGCCACTGGGTGGTCATTGCCCGATAACATCTAAAGTAGCCGTTTTATAATGCGATGTAAATTGATACTAAATTAAGCATAATCTTAACTAATATCTCATTTAATAATTTAGTATTATGGCTATTCTGGGAAGGTATGGTCTCGAGCTGTTAGCGTGTAAACCATCTATGTCTATATTTATCATCGTCAATAGATTTAAAGTTTCATCAAATTATGTGCACTCTACATTGCAAGCGGTTAACGTAATTTTCGATGGTAAATATAACCATTCGAATACAACGATGCTCTCAACGACGCTTTCATGATTGTCACCATGTTTGTCATGTCTTATTTACTATCTAAAATTACGAATCTTTAAATGATTTCTATTTCTATGCCGCACAATAATATTTTTCTATGTATAAAATTTAAAGTTAATGTTAACATAAGATTGAGTAAATGCGACGTGTGATCAGATAAATGAAATTGTTATTGTACTAGAAACATCATTATATAAATCCGTTGCATTGGGGACCACGATCTCGACATTCACTCGACAGTCGAAATTCTATGATCTTGTTGTTTTGTTGATAGTGACCACGCAGTTGCCTACTATGATAAAACTTGGTGCACAAAGAGGCTGCTCTCGTCAAGAGAAATTCTCTACTACCTTATAATCGTAGCAAGTTTTTAGTTTGGATTCAAAAGTCTTTATTTGAAAATATTTTCAGCTACACAAAAATATAGGACAGAATAACGTGATAATTTTCGATAAAAAATAACAATTATTTGGTTCCCGGCAATTACTTATATGTATGTCGTACTTAACAGACTAGATGTTTCACTTTTGCTATTATACTTGAATGTAACACGCTTGCGAAACAGTTTTCATATTGAGTATCGTCCACAGGTACTTATCACTTATCGTCCTAAAATCTTATATTCCTGTGCAAAATGAAAATTTGGCTCTCAATGACACTTGTACCCGAAATGCATATGTAACTATATCTTCTATACCAACCATAGACATAGCGAGTAAATTAAATTTAAAATTAATATTGTGATGTTATAATAACCTATCTAAACGAGAACGTACAAATAATAGTAGGGCGTATCCGTAATGTTATAAATAACAAAGTAAAACCGTATAAGAATTATATTCATATTTTTATACCCTAAAATCATAATCGAAGTTTAGAGTACTGACCAATTTCGTTAATGAATCATGAAAACAAAAATCGAGTTTGGTATTGTTAATAATAGTGAGATAAAGCTTTACAATATCCGAAAGATTTAGCGATGTAACATAAAATTTCATTCCATTTAGTTTGTTACGAGACGAGCCCGATGCGGTGTCCGATTAGCAAATACCTATTCCATAAAGTACAAGTGATGGCCTTGTTAGGTACACGACAGCGTTCAAACAAATAGTTGACAATTAGTGAAGTCTACGTAACTTATTGAAAATATTGGAAGCATATTTATTGGATTGTTAGAAGAGCATTTAATGCCGCCACATAGTTTTTGACGTCTCGATGCGGACGAAATGTACCCAAAGAAGGCTATATTTTTTACAGTTTTATATAGTATAAAAAGTGATAAACTCGTATCCAATACACGTCCATTGCACGAGTTGAACAATTGGTTATCCGAAGAGTACTACTGTGTATAGTCGACCAGCTGTAACGATGCATGTGTGCCTGATATTAAAGATATAAGATATTTTTCAATACCATCTTTACGAAGAGACTATGTAATTATGTATAATAGGTGTAACATACGGTTAATAAATAGTTTAAATGATTCACGACTTTTGTATGGGAATCTATTGTCTCTGTTGTAATTTATATTGTTACTGTCTAAATTTTTAATGAACATCTATTGTTTATTTACATCGAATGCTGGAGCGCTTCGGGATGAATAAAATAATATAGATGTACCTATATTTGTGTATAAATACAACAGTCTTAATAATAAAAATAATTTGAGAAATCCATAGATATAATTTTCTAATAATATTACAGGCGTGGATATTACATTGTTATAGAATATGTATTAATAATATAAATTTGAGAAAGCCTAAAATCCTAAAAAAGTATTGGTAAATTGTAGTCTTCCAAAATAAAATAAGGACACTCATTCGCTTTTGGTGAGCGTAGCTGTTCCACAGACGCGCGATCCCGAGTTCTTTTCTAGTGTTGACCATTTAAATGTTATTAAAGCTCAACTATTTTTAAATGTAAATTTAATAAGAGTAACCGTATGCGATGGACAGCTGTCGTCATCACACAAGGTCCACGCTACGTTCAGCAAAAGCTAGTCCCACTTTGTCTGCGTTTTTGTAACTTTGGCTAATTGTATTTTTTGTAACTCAACATTATCAGCGACCAGTGCTAAAATCAATTAGTAATAGAAAACTATTATATTGATTTTACCTAGATCAGTTCCCGACCAGATTGTTCTCTATGGTGACACCAATAAAAAGTGATCGGTAAATAAAATTTTATCAACGAATATAATTCCTATAAAAAAAAGATATACTTAAATATTTTGATAAATGGAAATTAAATTGTTGAAATGGGCTTATTGAATTAAATATTACTCATATGTAATTTGTCTATATATAGTTAAAGTATAAGATAAATGTAAACATCTTGGTGTAATGGATTTATACCTCATTTTAATGTTCGTACATTAAGTCATGTTTGATATTAAAAGTTAAAGCTTCAATGAAATTCTTAAACATGAAATCAATTTAAACTTGTTTCTTATTCAGATACGGTTTATATATAATTTTATTAGGCTGCTATTCTGATATATTACTAAGGTTATGGTAACTTCAGAACTATTAGACATTTTATGGATTAAATCATATGTAATTATATGATTAAATATAAAATAGTATTCGATCAGAGAATTGAAAATGTTATCGTGTGTAAATCGAAATTTTATGTAAAATGATCGGATTAATAATTATTTTTGCATTAATTAAGATATTTCAGTTCCGTCTTACAGAGTAAGGATGGCGGCAAAATAATAGGGTCCAAAGTTTCCATCCAACGTTACAGCAGATTTAATACATTGGACTGTGTTAGGAATGTGATATGTGCATTGTTAATATTCAGGTATATAAAATAAATAGTGTTCTTACTCTGTGATGAGGAACTTGGAGTATAAAAATACTATCAAAAATTTTATTCATAGAAACATTGATAGGTACGGGAATCTCTGTTTCGAAGGGAAAACATAATTAGTAAAAACA